GGTAGAAGGTTTCGTTCCTAATCCATACACCTCACACAGAGACTCTCTCGCCGGTGTGGCAGACGCAGTGTACAGTAGTGTGTATCAAGCTAGTGAGAAGTGCGACCCAACTTTATATATATACTGAAAATATTGTCCCTATATTTAAGATCCGAGACTACAGCTTACTATCATCAGAATAACAGGTATAAGAGGTAACTTATTAAGAGGAGGGGGATAAGGTTCACCACCACGCGCCTACCTGCCCACGTAGGTACAGGGGGCAATACAATCATAGGTTCATAACGCATTGAAGACGACAACTTTTTTTTGACTAATCTACGTCTTAGTGGTACATAGAAGCGAAAGTCATATAAATATACATCATCAACTCGACCATTTGTTTGTACATCGAGTAAGAAGTCGGCAGACGGGACAAGTAGGGAGATGAAAATGCTTAACCACTAAAACTACTTGAGATATATACTATATTTACGTGAGTACGATAATATCCCTTAATGGTGAATAGTACTGTCAGACAAGTGATTAATGTGTAAATTAAGTTGTTTACATTTTACACGGTGGTGTTCACGGGTGGCTGCCTTAGTATAAAACATTAACTGAGGTGGTGGCCGCTAGAGTGAGGTGGTGGCCGCTAGAGTGAGGTGGTGGCCGCTAGAGCGAGGTGGTGGCTGCCAGGAGTGAGGTGGTACACAGAGGAGGTGGTGGCTGCCAGAGCCAGAGGTGGTGGCCGCTAGAGTGAGGTGGTGGCCGCTAGAGTGAGGTGGTGGCCGCTAGAGTGAGGTGGTGGCCGCTAGAGTGAGGTGGTGGCCGCTATCATCACACATCGCTACTGTCTACTCTTATTACAGTTACTGACGCCACTCACTAGTTAAGTTACCAAATCCACACTACTATAACCTAACCCACACTACTATAACCTAACCCACACTACTATAACCTAACCCACACTACTATAACGCAACCCACACTACTATAACCCAACCCAATAATTACTATAACCCAACCCACACTACTATAACCCAACTCCACACTACTATAACCTAACCCACACTACTATAACTCTAACCTACACTACTATAACCTAACCCACACTACTATAACCTAACCCATACTACTATAACCTAACCCACACTTTGATTATAACTCCAACCCACACTACTATAATCTAAACCCACACTACTATAACCTAACCCACACTACTATAACCTAACCCACACTACTATAACCTAACCCACACTACTATAACCTAACCCACACATACCCTCACAACCCTTATTATTTCGCTTGTAAGTTATTATTTTCCTCCCCTACTTATCTCACCAGTCATATGTCGGCCCCTGGAGGTATATGGTTCATCTTCGTGTGTTCCTGCCGTTGAGTGACCAGCGCCTACTGTAGTTCCTGGTGGTGGATGATACTGCTGTTCTCCCTCCGTCATCCACTACCACTCTCCTCATCCACCTCAACCTGGTCTCACTGTAACTCTTCCTCTCACATAAAAAGTTCCCACGCATTGTCCTTTGACCCGCCAGGTGTAGAGTGGTGCGGGGAGGAGAGGGAGGATGATGGTATGTGTTGGAGGAGGTGTGAGGAGAGAGGGAGGATGGTGGTGTGTGTTGGAGAGAGAGAGAGAGGGTGGTGGTGTGTGTTGGAGAGAGAGAGAGGGAGGAGGGAGAGAGAGGGAGGGTGGTGGTGTGTGTTGGAGAGAGAGGGAGGGTGGTGGTGTGTAGAGAGAGAGGGAGGATGATGGTATGTGTTGGAGGAGGTGTGAGGAGAGAGGGAGGATGGTGGTGTGTGTTGGAGAGAGAGAGAGGGAGGTGGTGGTGTGTGTTGGAGAGAGAGAGGAGGGTGGTGGTGTGTGTTGGAGGTGTGAGGAGAGAGGGGAGGGTGGTGGTGTGTGTTGGAGAGAGAGAGAGGGAGGATGGTGGTGTGTGTTGGAGAGAGAGAGGGGGTGGTGTGTGTTAGAGAGAGTGGTGGTTGGAGGTAGTGTGAGGAGAGAGGGAGGATGGTGGTGTGTTGGAGAGAGAGAGGAGGGTGGTGGTGTGTGTTGGAGAGAGAGGAGGGGTGGGTGTGTGTGGAGGTGTGAGGAGAGGAGGGTGGTGGTGTGTGTTGGAGAGAGAGAGGGAGGGTGGTGGTGTGTGTTGGAGGTGTGAGGAGAGAGGGAGGGTGGTGTGTGTGTTGGAGAGAGAGAGGGAGGGTGGTGGTGTGTGTTGGAGGTGTGAGGAGGGAGGGTGGTGGTGTGTGTTGGAGAGAGAGAGAGGGAGGGTGGTGGTGTGTGTTAGAGAGAGAGAGGAAAGGTGGTGGTGTGTTGGAGAGAGGGAGGGTGGTGGTGTGTGTTGGAGAGAGTTGGAGAGAGAGAGGGAGGGTGGTGGTGTGTGTTGGAGGTGGAGGAGAGGAGGATGGTGGTGTGTGTTGGAGAGAGAGAGAGGGAGTGGTGGTATGTGTTAGAGAGAGAGAGGAGGAGTGGTGGTGTGTGTTGGAGGAGAGAGGGAGGATGGTGGTGTGTGTTGGAGAGAGAGAGAGGGAGGGTGGTGGTGTGTGTTGGAGAGAGAGAGAGGGAGGGTGGTGTGTGTTGGAGGAAACATTTGAGATAAAATGACCTTAAAAAATAAAAAAATAAATGTACAGATCAGATATAAACATTGGTCTAGTATGGAAGTCTTACTCGATACAGGTGATCACAAGGTAACACACAGGTACAGGTGTAATTGTCTATGGTACTGTACACCCACGTTCTCCCTCGTTACCTGAGACTCACACTGACAAACGTTCAACACAGTCGAGGATTTTTTTTTCATATTTTGTCTTTTGTCGTCAGTTTTTCTGGGTGTCCACTGTAACGAAGTTTTTTTTTTTAGGGGGGGGGGAGATGTCCACTATATCGAGTCCTCAGTGTTATGTTTAGCTGCTGTAGAGGAACTGTTAAGGTAGTAGTTCCTCTTAACCACAATGCACAAATATTTGACAGGGAAGCAGTAATCACTCGTGACTTGTATATAAACAATGTATGTGAGTCAGAATTTGAGAATATAAATTAAATTGCTGGTCACTATTAATTTATATATATTAGCTACAGCCAATTAACCTAACCTACCCTTATCCAAACCTAACCTAACCTTGCCAAACCTAACCTAACCTTGCCAAACCTAACCTAACCTAACCTTGCCAAACCTAACCTAACCTAACCTTGCCAAACCTAACCTAACCTAACCTTGCCAAACAGGAATATTTTGTCAGAGTTAACTTCAGTCTTAGAGCTATGGCAAGGTAAGGGAAAGTATCTTAACTGATACAGGTGTGAGGAATGTGAGATAGGGGAGGGGGGGGGGGTGTGTGAGGAGCATCTGGCAGAGATGAGCGTATGAGCTCTGGGAGGCAGCGTCGTCAGTATAGCGGACTGGTGAAGGTTCCGTTACTTGGCGCCACCGACTCATTCTACGAGCACTCTGTTTCCCCGCCACTATCACGAGCCCGCACGTTAACACCCACACCACACCATACACCACACCACACCACACACTACACCATACCAGACCATACACATTAACCTTTAACTACGGTGCCACACTCAATAGACTACACCTCAGCACAATAGATCAACCGAGTCAAAAATAACTTAACTCCTTGAATACGATGATTTAATTCTCGAGTACGATGACTTAATCCTCTTGTGTACGATGACTTAATCCTCGAGTAAGATGGCATCAACAGAGGGGTTAAGTCATCGTGTTGGAGGGATTAAAACGGTAGATGGATGATTAAAAAAAGATAGACTGCAGAGTAAAAGGTTAAGGCCAGGAAGTATTGGGGGTTAATGCTGGAGATAATGTGGCTGGGACGGAGTGATTTACTTGTTGGTGTGAGGACGAGAACACACACACACACAACACAGATCATACACACACACACACACACACACACACACACACACACACACACATCACACAGATCATACACACACACACACACACACACACACAGATCATACACACACACACAGATCATACACACACACAGATCATACACACACACAGATCACACACACACACACACATCACACACACACACAGATCATACACACATCACACAGATCATACACACACACACACACAGATACACACACACACACACACACACACATCACACAGATCATACACACACACACACACACAGATCATACACACACACACACACACACATACACACACACACAGATCATACACACACACACACAGATCATACACACACACACAGATCATACACACACACACATCACACAGATCATACACACACACACACACAGATCATACACACACACACAGATCATACACACACAGATCATACACACACACACAGATCACACACACACACAGATCACACACACACACACACACACACACACAGATCATACACACACACACACAGATCATACACACACACACACACACACAGATCATACACACACACACACACACACACACAGATACACACACACACACACACACACACACACAGATCATACACACACACACACACACAGATACACACACACACACACACACAGACACACACACACACACACACACACAGACACACACACACACAGATCATACACACACACACAGATCATACACACACACACACACACAGATACACACACACACACACACACAGACAGACACACACACATCACACAGATCATACACACACACACACACAGATCATACACACACACACATCACACAGATCATACACACACACACACAGATCACACACACACACACACAGATCATACACACACACACACACACACACACACAGATCATACACACACACACACACACACAGATCATACACACACATATACACACACACACACACACACACACACACACACACACACACTGTAATTAACATAAAGAAACTAAAGTAGTTATATTATTGTGATCATAAAAGTTATTAGTGTAATAAAGTCATTACTCGGTGTCTTCCTCCAGTACAGGTGTTCATGGGCGTCACAGATGGCAAGAGCAGGTGTGTGACATCATCTCCAGTACAGGTGTTCATGGGCGTCACAGATGGCAAGAGCAGGTGTGTGACATCATCTAATTAAGTCTGGCAAGTGTCACCAGCTGAACAATGATGGCTCCCCTAAGACGTGTCAAGCTGACTGAGTTAAATGCCCACTTAGTGTGTGTACTGTGCTCTGGGTACTTCGTTGATGCCACCACCATTATCGAGTGCCTACACACCTTCTGCAAGACATGCATCGTTCGCTACCTCCAGACTTCATCATTCTGTCCCATTTGTGATGTACAGGTCAGTCTTACTATTTGAACGTGTAATATTATCCTTCAAAGTGTACAGAAAGTGAATAATTTAAAACTATTTACCATAATGATGTAAGTCTCTTTAATTGGGTTTTTTTTTGTACAGGTTCACAAGACTAAGCCACTCATGTCCCTGCGTGAGGACCGAACACTACAGGATGTTGTGTTTAAGTTGGTTCCTGGACTGTTTCACTCTGAGATGAACAGACGATTTTGCTTTTATAAAGAACATCCTGAAGCTGGTGAGTCGTCTTCACCTCGTTATACAGCTCATTATATAATCTTGTTTTTTTATAATATGCACTGTAATATTTTTAACTTTAATAACAACTGAGAATTAACCCATATTCATAAATAATGGTTAATGATATACTGTATTATAACAATCTTGTACAGTAAGTTATGTTTGTCACTTTAGGCGGTGACAAGACGGAACAAAGTTTGAGAGAACGTCGTCACTTCTTCCACGTGGATGACCAGATCTCCCTGTCGCTAGAGTACCTTCACTCGACCCCTTCACTCTCTCATTCCCACGTCCACTCTCACATTATGAAGCCCCTGAAGGTTAATAACGGCCAGCAGGAGAAGCAACAGAAGGCGGGGGGTGAGGAAGACAAGGATGGACTCACGGGAAAGATGGAAATAAAGAAGGACAACGGAGGTGACGAACAGGAAGTGAAAGGTGTCAAGGTAAGTGTGTGTCCCTGTATGAACTCTACCAGCGTGAGAGGGAAGGACAGTCTTAAAGTAAATGGAGAGAAGCTCTAAGTTGTGAAGTAATTTAGATATTTAACAGAGATGGACATGTGAAAGCAAAGTTGATGAAGACGTAATGTTAAGCCTAAATTATAAGTGGAACTCTTGAAGGTATTAATGACTGGGAGGATTTAATGTAATGTTCCCTATATTAACTTGTATCATGGTTGTCTTGTTCAGATGGTGCACAAAAGGTACCTGAGATGCCCAGCAGCTGTGCAGGTGTCCCACCTTGAGAAGTTCATACGCCTCAAGTACAGTTTGGCAACAATAACTCATAAGGTAAATAACTTTTCCCATATCTGGTGAAGGTAATGTGTGTATGATTATTATTTGTTTATCGATTTTCTTACTTTCCTTCATTAAACAATATATTTCTTTGGTCCCACAGGTTGACATCATGCACGGTGGTGACTGTTTGGTTGGTGAGTTAACTCTACTAGATGTAGTATACATGTATAAGTGGACAGAGGATGCTCCCCTCCGCTTGATGTACACAGTAACTGCTATTCCTCAGTCGCGCAAGAGACCTCGACTAAATGGCACTCGAGCTTCAATTACTGTTGACCCTGAAGCTCCTGCCCCCAAGATTGCCAGAACTCAGGGTCCTGGTGTTAACCACACAGCCCACCTTCAGGCACCACCCAAAGGACAAGATGACAGCGAGGGATCAGCACTGGCCACGGTTAAAACTGGTGACCTGAAAATGGAGGTAGATGTACCAAACCAGGTTGAGGAACCTTTTAGTACCTCAAATACTGTTGTTAATAATATCTCAAGTACTGTGAATGTGACTCCAGCAGCATTATCTGTGTGTCCACAGACCCTCCCAAGTTTTTCTAACACAAGTCTTGTTGGTAAGAGCTGTAGTAGTGGTGTCTCTGGTCCCACCAGGGGTCGACCTGCTCTTACTACCACAACTCCAGCAACAACTACACCTAGAGTAGCTCTAACACGCATACCTTCACCTGTCAACCCCCTTCCAAATGCTTCTGTTCCTGTACCTATAAGTGAACCTGTCATGACCTCACACACCACCATCACCCCATCACTCACCATGACTAGTACCACTATGACTACCTCACACACTTGTCCCAGTACTACATCAACCACAGGTGCAAGGATGCAGATGCCACACTCTAATATAAGCAACACAACAGAGACTGCAGCACTCAAGTCAGTGTGCACATCAGGATCATACCCGAACAAAATGCCACAACCAATTATACCTACACGCCCTCGATTGGGACGACCGCCAAATTCGTCTCGCATAACTGCCGCTTCCATGAAGCCGCCAACCCCAAGGTTGGGAGACGTGCGTAATCCACGTCCACCACTAACAGCGGGGAAGAAACTCTCCCCATCAGGAGGTGCAGGTTCTCGGGGCAACCAGATGGTGTCTGCCAGTCTGACTGTACAGAGTCGTCTGAGCAGCATCAGCGGGCCGCCTGTTAAGCTGGGTGCTACCAAGGTGTCCGTAAAGAGATCAAATGATGCGCTCAAAGATAGTGGACAGACTCTTAATCAGCCAGAAGAACAAGCTACAAAAGCCCAACTTCCGTGTTCAACAGCTAACGTGTCCACAACCACACAAGTCTCACAGACTACCCAGTGCCCCACAAGCAAGCAGTCTGCTCCCTGTACTCCCAGCAGTAGTCCTGCCACACCAGCTGCCCAGGAGCCTGAAGCATCTGTCACCCCACTTGACACTCAAACTGCTCAGGGAAACTCTAATGTGCAAAAAGTGCAGCAGACTGCTACCACACAGGCTGGCCAACCTTCTGAAAACCAGACCGCTCAACGGCTGCAGGGAACTACACCCACTCAGCGTGCCACCACCCAGGCCACTCAAAGACCTGTTTCTCAAGCCAATCAACGACCCAATTCTCAGGTCAATCAACGTCCACCTGGTTCTCAGGCTAATCAGCGTTCTGCTGCAGCCGCTCAGACCAATCAACGTTCTCCTGGGACTCTCGTTGCTCAGCGACCCCCTGGAACTCAGGCCAATCAACGAGTATCTGGCACTCAGACCAATCAGCGTTCTCCTGGTGTTCAAGCCAATCAGCGACCCGTCACCAATATTAGTCACCAGTCCCCTAATACCCAAGCCAACCAACGGCATCCAGGCCCACAGGTGACTCAACAGCCTCCCAACACCAAAGCCAACCAGCGGCCATCAGGTAACCAGAGTGCTCAAAACTTCTCAGCTGGCAACACTATGCAAAAACCCGTCAATCAACGTCTTACCAATACTGTTAATGCACTACGGCCAACAGGCGTCTCACTAGGCCAGAGATCACCCGTTAACTCCATATCCCAGGGCTCCACTGCACCTGCCTCTGCACGCCCACCTGGTAGTCCAGCACCTCACAGACAGCCAGCCAGTCCATCACCTCACAGACAGCCACCTAGCCCAGCACCTCACAGACAGCCACCTAGCCCAGCACCTCACAGACAGCCACCTAGCCCAGCACCTCATAGACAGCCACCTAGTCCAGCCCCTCACAGACAGCCACCTAGCCCAGCACCTCACAGACAGCCACCTAGCCCAGCACCTCACAGACAGCCACCTAGCCCAGCACCTCACAGACAGCCACCTAGCCCAGCACCTCACAGACAGCCACCTAGCCCAGCACCTCACAGACAGTCAAGCAGTCCAGCGCCACAGAAGCAGGCTGGTAACATGACCCCTCGTTCACACAACACAGTAACAACATCAGTTGGTGGGTCCACACCCTCGCCAAGATCAACACCTTCACCCAGGACCACATCGTCTTCGCCTTCAACGCCCACTGTCTCATTTACACCAAGTAACAGAGAGATGGTGCCAGTTTCCAGTCCAATGGCGAATTCTAACACTGGTGCTGGACAAAGTACAGCGAATAATACTGTGTCTAGCGGAAAGTCAGCTGGGTCCAAGCCTAGTGTGACCTTTACACAAGCACGCTCCACTCCTACTAACTCAAGTGCCAAAGGCCCTCCCGGCAAAACTCAGTCTACTGCAGGAGTGAAGGCCTCACCCAAGTCCCCAGGACGAGGCCGTGGCAACACCGGCTCTCCCAACATTCTCAGTATAGCTCAGTCTCTCGCTAGTCGGCAGTTACAACAACGTACTATGGCGCCACCAACAACCACAAATAACACCATAACCAATACCACTAACATTGGTTCAACACACCAGGCCTTCACGAGCACAGCCCCCAACTCACCCATGTATCCAAATACCATGAGCGGAGGACTGGTCCCGCCAGCACTGGCAGCAGCAGCTTATATGGCCTCAGCTTATGGTGACCCTTCAGCCCTCACGGATGTAACTGCTATGAGAAATCTCATCACACTAAGCCAGACGGCTGCTTGCATCCGGGAGTTCAACCTCGCTGCCATGGTGAAGGCAGCAGAGACACTACCTCGTCAATCGGACCCCACCCCCATGGACCTCTCACCCACGTCTAAAGCTGCGCCACAAACACCACTGACCAATGGTCGTGCTCACACCTCCACTGCTGCTGTGTCCACCAGCACCAAGACAACCCCTTCCAGCACCTCCAGATCCCCATCATCCAAAATGGCACGTTCTGCCGACACTTCATCTGCACCTACAATATCACCACCTACACCTGAAGTTACCATCACCAAACTTCCCAATACACCCGCCTCGACCTCCTCCTCTACCTCGACTACGGGAACAGGGAAAAACACACTAGGATCGATGAAGCTTGGTTCTACCAACACCAACACGGTCTCCATCACTAAGCGACCAGCATCTAACAATAGGATCGCTGTGGCCAAGTCTCCCGCTAATGCCTCTGTTCGACAGATTCCTAACCCGTCCTTTCTGAGGCATCATTCTGAAGCTCGTAACAACAACAATGTTTCCAAGTCTACATCGCTGCCATCGGCCTCTACGTCTAGTTCTTCCCAAGCCACCACATCCAAGACTCACACATCAGGCGGTGGTGGACGAGCCACTGGCAACTCTCCTCTGAAGGAAACTGGACCTTTACCAGAAACATCATCTATACTGAAGATTGAGCACCTCACCAGATCACTGGCTGCACCTGCTGCTGCCGCCGCCGCCGCCGCAGCCGCTTCTCACGCATATAGGTTCTTCGATGATAGATAGGGAAGGGTGGCGTTAGAGAAAAATATCTCTTATGAAGAGGAATGAATCCAGTAAAAATATAAAGACTTTAAAGAGATATAAGGGTCAGATGTTACTGTGTTGCGAGCAAATGACTGTTGTATACATTATCCCCGCCGCTCGGTGTTCAAGAGGCCTCACCTCACAGTGCAGTGCCACAACCTCCCTCTTGGAAACACCAACACCTCTCAATATACGACATTTTTACTCTAGTGCATGAGATGACTTGTGAGAGCTCACTGATGGCTGTTGTCTACAGTCACAGAAGACAGTTGTAGTGGGTAGTAAAGTAGACTATTGGAGCTCCCGTCCGGTACCGTATACGGTGACGGAGTTGTGTGACCTGCGTCCTCACTGTACAGTATACGGTTCACCTTGAGAACCACGGACAGGCAGCTCTTACACTGACACATATAATTTCTAACTTCGCAGCTGAAGTGACTGGTTCTCACCCCTATTGAACACTTCACATTGTACATGGGAATATGTATATTCATTTATGTTGAAAACGTGAATTCTTATTTTATTTAAATACTTGACACGGGGAGACAGTGTTGAGCCTTGAGTGAGAGTTAATACCATGTATCTAAACAGTGCCGCAACCCAGTGCCTTCTTGATGGTTTGTGGAGGGACCAAGTTGTTAACGAGAGGACGGGTGTGTGAGGTGAAAGATGACCACGTTCAACAAGTCCTTCACTCGGATACAATATAAAGACGTCCTTTTATAACCGTACAAATGTATCTGTGACGAAAACAATTTTGTATTTACTTTTCAATTTACTAAAGGAGTGACGCAGAAAGGTAACGCGTGTAAATGTCACGTATATACAGTACTGCACCTTGTAAACAAAGCTACTGGGGTAGATTATGGCATGAAGAGTGTGGGAGGAAACCATTATTGACCACAGGTTCCAATAATGTCAATAAATGCATAGTTTTACCGTTCTTCAATATACTTCTTAAATATGCACTAATTGAGGGTTTAATCTTCAAAATCTGTGTTAGCGATGGTTTAACACTACACTATAAACTTAAGGCGGTGTTTTATCTTCACATTAATGGGTATATATAACAAAATAAGTAGATACGTGTACATTAATTCTGATGGTGATGTGGACGTTGCCGGTGATGACGGACCAACGTATAATGTTGAGTTATTCTATTCAGTCGTTCCTCTGCACCATAACGGGCCTTTACAAGTTGCTCATGCATATCAAAGTGTGTTAGGCCATGCTCACGGTAGGGCCTTATATTTTTATTTAATTTGTCAAAGATAATTATTATGACTTACATAACGCAGGTAAAGATGTAATAAGCGAATTGTTATGTGCGTGTTTCTCTTCTCAGACAAGAACTGTAACTGTCCGGTTTTTTAATAGATATATTTTGTAAATTTTTTAAAATGAAAGTTTTGTGTTGATCTTCGGTGAGTAGATTTTAAGTCGTGGATTTGAATAACAAGTTCAAATACCCATAGATAGATTTATATATACTGTATATGTTTGTATATTAAGATAAATGTGTGTGTGTCCTTCACCAATTAACATGTATATATTCTTGTATATATGACGGGATATGTAGATAATTTTCAAATACATAAAATTATTGTAACACTTTATTTATTATCCTTGAAATATAAACCGTGTGACCTTACCAACATAGTACCTGGTGACCTGACTGTTTGTGGGGCATGACTAGTGACCTGACTGTGGGGCATGACTAGTGACCTGACTGTGGGGCATGACTAGTGACCTGACTGTTTGTGGGGCATGACTAGTGACCTGACTGTTTGTGGGGCATGACTAGTGACCTGACTGTATGTGGGGCATGACTAGTGACCTGACTGTATGTGGGGCATGACTAGTGACCTGACTGTATGTGGGGCATGACTAGTGACCTGACTGTATGTGGGGCATGACTAGTGACCTGACTGTATGTGGGGCATGACTAGTGACCTGACTGTCTTATGTAAAAGTATACTGCCTGGAAAAGCTTAAATACAGGTCATGAACAGTCTGGAGAAGCTTAAATACACAATAAGCTGATATATAGACCATGAACAGTACAGAAGCTTATAAACATCATGAATAAGCTGAGATATAGGGCATCAACAGTGTGAAGCTTATAAACATCATGAATAAGCTTAGATACAGATGATGAATAATCTGGAGAAGCTTAGGTGTTGTTTAAGCCACAGGTGCTAATTAACCTGCCAGGGTCGTGAGGTTAGGTTATGTTAATTAAACTGGGGTGATGATTCTTCAGATGATCCACAGTTAGGTTAGATTAGGTTAGGGTAATTAAGCTGCGATGGAGATTCTTTAGGTAATTACAGGTAGGTTAGGTTAGGGTGATTAAGCTGGAGTGGAGATTCTTTAGGTAATTACAGGTAGGTTAGGTTAGGGTGATTCTTCAGGTGATCCACAGTTAAGTTAGGTGAGGGTGATTAAACCTGTGGTGATTCTACAGGTAGGAACACATGCTAATCTCGTTAACCGACAAACAAACTACATATTTACTAAAGATGTACCAATGAGACGGAAGGCAGGAAGCAGAACCTCTCGTAAAGTTTATAACGCAACAAAAATACAATAATTACACCAATTATTATGAGTGTGGAGTCTGAAGATATAATTACGGGGAGCGATTATGTACACTAGGCTGCTGGTCCACTGCCTGTGTACTGTATAATGAGGGTGTGACACATAGTATACTGATGACGTCATGAATAAGATGAGGAGTCACATCATAACATCATTTAATAAGGTAAGGCGTCACACCATGCTCAAGGTAAGGCGTCACACCATGCTCAAGGTAAAGCGTCACACCATGCTCAAGGTAAGGCGTCACACCATGCTCAAGGTAAAGCGTCACACCATGCTCAAGGTAAAGCGTCACATCATGAACCAGATAAGACGTCATATCATGAACCAGGTAACACGTCATATCATGAACCAGGTAAGGCGTCACACCATAAACGACTAAGGCATCTCAAAACTGACCCTTAATGACCTAAAACATTTCTAGTATGAACTATTCCCACAAGGCCAAGAAGAGAGGGCTATCAAAACACCTACATAAACAATGTATTGAAACATAAACAGACAGGAATACTTAGGAGAGTTTAAATGGAGGTGAATTTTGCTAGATCATGTGTGTATGTGTGTGTGTGTGTGTGTCAGCCTCCAAGACACGTATAAGAGATGTGAGTCGCGGGGTGGCCTGGGCGAGTGACTCAGTAGTTTAGCTTCACACTGGAGAGTCTGAACAATGAAATACTTCGGCTATTTATTGAGAACTAATTAATTGCTCCCAGATTACATATTAGGTTAGGTTAGGCTTGACTAGGTTAGGTTAGACCAGGTTAGGCTAGACTAGGTTAGGTTAGACTAGGTTAGGTTAGGTTAAGGTTAGGTTAGATTAGGCTAGACTAGGTTAGGTTAGGCTAGACTAGATTAGGTTAGTACTATTCCACCTAAACTGTTGCTGTGGTTGGGGTCAAAAGTTCACTCCTGCCCAGAATGAAGGAGCATCGACCCCAAATGAGATGAAACACTCAGGGTGAGTCAGTTCAGAGACTCATTGACTCATTCCCGTGACTCAGTTTCACCACAGAGAGTGAAATTTTCTCCCCTATTATACATTAAGTTGTTCATGCGTGAATAACATGCACCAGGGCGCCTCATACAGCTGCTCTATATAGTAAAGTCGATATAATATTCAGTACAAGTGTTAAAAGCATTACACTACCAGCTGTTAATATAATTGATGACACAAAATGGGCGTAAAACAGAGTCCAGGAAGTGAGGCGACAGGTGTTGAGTACAGACCAGGAGTTAAGCGAAGGCGATGAAGGTCATTATTTATTTGACCGGGAATTAAGTGAAGGTTATGGACATTACTTATTTGATCGGGAATTAAGTGAAGGTTATGGACATTACTTATTTGACCGAATTAAGTAAAGGCGATGTAGGAAATTACTTATTTGATCGGGAATTAAGTGAAGGTGATGAAGACCAGCACTTATTTTTTCAGCTAAGGAAGTGACAGTGACGTGTTAAATACCCATGGTGACGCTGACACTATGAAAAACAATAACAGCGGTACTTATGGTGTTATGAAGTGCCTTACATGAAGTACTTAGACGCTATAGATGAACAGGTCAAATAATACAGCACTGTACATATCATTGACTACTTAATGATAAGGTTCACCATGATAAAACCTCAGCTCAGGTGATGTATAAATTAAGGTTCTATTACCTGGAGAATCAATTGCAGTCATAAGACCTTTATTTTGCTTTTTTTCCCATTAACAAATAATTTTACTTCAGTTGACCCATTTATTCTGATGCGTGAGTGTGTGAGTAGTGCGTGAGTGTGAGGGTGTGGTGTGTGAGTAGTGCGTGAGTGTGTGAGTAGTGCGTGAGTGTGAGGGTGTGGTGTGTGAGTAGTGCGTGAGTGTGAGAGTAGTGCGTGAGTGTGAGGGTCGGGGAAAGACAAACCAAGAGACGCGAGGCGATAACCCACACACGGAACTGTTCAACTTCCTTCACACTGTAGTAATGCTGTGTGTATCCTTGACGGTCGAGGCTAACCTTACGTGTATAAAATGAACCCTATAATCCTGCAACAAGAAAAACTCACCACCATACTACTAGCTCAGCATACTACTAGCTCTCGTATGTTCCTATTGCAAGACATGTAATAAAAGTCAACCCCACCACCATACTACTAGCCCAGCATACTACTAGCCCAGCATACTACTAGTCCAGCATACTACTAGCTCTCGTATGTTCCTATTGCAAGACATGTCATAAGAGCCGAGCAAATAACACAGTAACTGTCTGAAAAGTGTAAGGTCAGCAAGTCTCTCGGTGTAAATTATGAGGGAGCGCCACCTTGACTAGGGACATAAGAGGTAGGTGAGCGGCGTCTCCAAGAACCTATCATTTGACGACGGCGGGCAACTTGCTATGCGTGTCTATACCACAAACATTCGCTCGCCTTCCTCCCTGTATCCCACTTGAACAACACTCCAGTATAGTTCATCTTGATAAAACAAACCGCTGGAGTTATTAGGGATATATAGTGATCATTGACGTTTGTTTATACACGTAGGAACTAAGACCCTTGGAGTCTTTGTCGCACCATAAGTGATATCTTCTGGGAGTATTCGAATCGTAGTGGTGGTGGTCTTGGCTGCGGGACACACAACAATATACGGAACAAAGACTCCGCCAAATTAAGACTTATAGCTATCGTCTACTGCCAGGTACAATATATACACACATAAATATATTTACCTTAATATATCCACCACTAGGATAATTAATTTCCCCACCTGAGTAAAATATTATTGAATCCTGTTGAGGTGTACACTCCACGTGCCTCCAGGATCAGACCGTGTTGTGTACCGACCCGTGTAGTAAAGCCTTACAACTGTGTCAGGAGGAGTAATGTCTCTCACCACTTCTCCTGAGATATTGAGGGGGGGGGGTAGAATGCCAGGACTGAGAGACACCAGACGCGTACAGGTGACACTAAAACCTAACCTAACCTAACCTGATCTGACCTAACCTAACCTATTGGCTGCCTTCCTGTATTTAGTGAAATAGGATGTATTTAAGCAGTCTTTTATGCCCCCCCTCCCCCCAAAAAAAAAGAGTAATAATAATAATATTGTTTTTGATAGTTTTCTGAGATATCTTTATAATGGGGAGGGGTGTAGGGGTAGGTTTTGACCCCTTCCTCTACTCCCAATGGGGGCTGTGGGGGTAGGTTTTGACCCCTCTCTACTCCTTAATGGGGGCCAGGGGGGTAGGTTTTGACCCCTTCCCCTCTACCCCCACGGGGGCTGTGGTTTGACCTCCCCATACAAGGCTCATGACCGGGAACACGAGCCTTATAAGTACTATTACAGTAAGTGTGGGTGAGGACGTAGGTGAGGCTGACGAGCGGGAGAATATGGCGGCCACCACCACCCACCCGCCTGTGGTTGTATTTTCACCACTAATATCTTCTCTATCACCAACGGCTCTAACACGTCCAACACTGTGAGACAAAAACACTAACAAGAGGCCAATATCAATATCTCCTCTCACCTTCTTCATGAAACACAAAACAAAAAAAATCCCAGTAACCAGAGGCGACCGGGAGACCAGACACACTATCCAGGCTAGGAGGTCAGCTGGAGGGGGGGAGTTAATGTTACGTCAGCTAAGGTTAGGTTAAGTTAAGGTAATGTTAATAAGTTAATGATGTAGTAATGTTAAATGTTAAGACCCAAATTTTTCAACGTTAAACATATTTTTCCTTCATGAGGGTTTTGTGGGCACTGTAACCCACCCCACAACACATCTCATAACCCACCCACAACACATCTCATAATACACCCACAACAAATCCCCACCCACAACACATCTCATAATACACCCACAACACATCTCATAATACACCCACAACACATCTCATAATACACCCACAACACATCTCATAATACACCCACAACACATCTCATAATACACCCACAACACATCTCATAATACACCCACAACACATCTCATAATACACCCACAACACATCTCATAACCCACCCACAACACATCTCAT